TTCCCGCAAGCCGGAACACCTCAACAGCGTGCCGACGGGGGTGCCGCCGCCTCTCCGCCGAAACGGTCTCAGCTGCCAGCCAACGAGCAGCTCGTGGGCACGAACATCCCTGGCCGCCCGGCGCTGGACATGACGGCCAAGGAGAAGGATGACTACGTCGAGGACTTCTCGAAGCGATTCCCCAGCCTCAGCGCCATCGAGATGGTTGAGCGGGACATAGACACCGAGCCGCGCGAACGACCTGGGAGGTAGACGCTCCTGCGCCCTCGCGGTACGAGTCTAGGCTAGGAAGAGGGTCTTTGGCAACACAATGAGTAGCAGGCGAAGTCAACACAGTCAAATTCCACCCACCAACAAGCACCTATAGTTCCCGTGAATCGAAGCACAAAACTAGTCATGTAGATCAATGTGTTAATTTTCCGTCGAGCAAGAAGTTGTCAATGCTAACGCGGTTTGGTCCTGTCTGTATAAGACGAGAACTACGGAGATACTTCCCACGTCAGTGATAGAATGTGGGAATTTCCCTGACATAATTTGGTACGGCGTCCGTCGAGCAAGAAGCTACTTCTTCTCCTCAGGCGTGGGAGCCGTACTGAACCATGTCAGGGAAAGTCACACCCTCCATCACTGGCGTGGGAAGGATCTCCACAGCTCCCCTTTCATAGAGACAGAACCAAACCGCGTCAGCATTGACAACCTCGAGCGCCTCGCGTGCCTCGTTGTCGTGCTCCAGTCGATCCGCCAGCAGCGCCAGCACGCCGTCGTAAACTTCATCCTCGATCCGCACGTGACGCACAATGGCGATGAGCAGCTGAACCACAGCCTCCCACGTCTGCGCCGCCGACGCAAAGCGGCCGAGGCCGCCGCGTGAGGACGGCGAACACCGCGAGATATCTTTCGTAGCTGCAGTCTTCATCTCACGCGTGCCACCTGCACGGGCCGGTACGACGACGTTGTGAACGGGCGCGACATCGTGGAGGAGGGCGGCCTTTCCGCGGACCTGGCCCTGGCGAGACTGGTTGTCGAGAGCCTCTTGTTTCTTTTTTTGACACCACTTGTGGAGAGCATCCGACCACTCCGTCTTGATGCGGGACGCGAGGAAGTCACCCGCCGTAGCACACAGGATGGCGAGGGTGTCGCATGCGGCGATGATGATGAAAGATTCGGCGTCATACAGGCGGGCGACTACGACGGGCCAGATGGTGTTGACGAGGGGCAGAAAAGAGTCTTCGTCGGCGGCGAGAGCCGGCGCGACTGTGACGAGGAGGTCGAGGAGTGACTTGCGGAGAGTCGGGGTCGGGGAGGTCAGATAGTGCTGTGTCAGTATTGCTACCTTCTCCAGAAGAACGTACGTTGGTGTCTTGGGGGGCTTCTCCTGTTCGACTTCGCCGCCGCCGGCTTCGTCATCTTCTTCCTGCTTCTCATTTTCAGGGCCCCAAGGTCGAGGAGGGTGGCCCTGCACCGTGCTGTCCTCTTCATCTTGTTGCTGCAATTTCTTCCGTTCAGCGCGCCGATCGAGGTAGGCACAATGTCATTAATGTCTGTCGGTCTGGGTCGCCGCTTCACGTGTCCAAAGAGCCGTTTTGGCGGCCCTCGAGAAGGAGTCTATCAGATCTGACGCTCTGCTCAACAACTTCTTGAGAACGGCAAAGAGACTCTCGACGAAGACAGGTAGCCGTGTAATTATCGAGCGCTGCAAATATGAGCTACACGTCGTCAGATA